AGCCGGTGAGATTAGAACCGCTGAACTGCAGATAACAGTCAGCTGAAGTGGCCTGCAGTGCTGCACCCTAACCACTGCGCCACCTCGGCTCTTTAAATGTGGCAGAGTATCTTCCCGCAAATGTATCCTGGTGCTCCTCATCATACCCTCCGCCATCTTCATTGCATCGGCTTACAGATTACAGCTTACAACCTTACATCAGCTGGCAGCTATTAAATCCTCATTACCCAACACCCTCCCTCGGTTCAACTTCTACAATTAATTCTGGACCTTCCCTACCTCGGTTCAACTTCTACGGTCGCGTGGACGCTTGTAACTTCTCCCTGCTTCTCTCTTCCTCCTCGCTTCCGTCCCTCTGCACAAATCAAGAGAGTCGTCGGTTCTGCGTTCACTGGCTTAAGGTCAGAGTCTCACTATTCCTCACTCGCCACACCTACGCCGTTCTGTTTTTCTGCTTCCCGCCAGGAACTTCATGAAATGCTTCGTTTACCTGGCCCAGCTGGAAGCTCTGAATATCCCTTACACCTACGAATCCTTCCACAGGGCACCGAAGGAGGGCATGATCAAAGGCCTGTGGAAGAACCACAGCCATGAGCCCAAGGTGATGCCGGCTGGGGAATTCTGGGAGTCGGGAAAGCCACGGAGCTTAAAAGTTGGGGGAAAACGGGTGCAAGATAGTCTTTCAATCCTGCACTTCCCCACAAAAACTTCCACTTTCAGGCGGTCAAACTGGTGGCTGAACTGTCCTTGCAGTACGAAGTGTATGACCCTCTGCTTTGGAACGGTTTGCTGCAGAAGCTAATGGGGTTCAAAATGGTAAGAGCCTTTCCTTTTCTGCCTTCCCCTCTCCCCCATCCCACTCCACCTGGGACAAACGGTGGAGCGCTAAGAAATCCCGAGTCCTCTACTGTATAGCACTGCAGAGCGAAAAAAGGCCGTACCATGTGCCTGCATTGTAGGGGTGTGGTGCTAAGATGCTGAGCTTTTGTCAATCAGAAAGATGGGCCGGCGGTTCGAATCCCTAGCGTGAGCTCCCGTGACTCCTTCTCTTTCTCTCCCTCCCACCCACCTCTCCTTACCTCTTTCTTCTTCCCTTACCTCTCCTCCACATCTCACCTTATTTTCTCTTTCTTTTCTCCCTCCCTCCCTTCCTTTTCTACTTCCTTTCTTCCTCCTCTCCTTCCCCTTCTTCCTTCCCTTACTTCTCCCCTACTCCTACCCTCTTTCTTCTCCTTCCTACCCTCTCTCTTTCTCTTTCTTTCTCTTCCTCCCTCCTCTCCTTCTTTTTCTCTCCCTTCCACCCACCTCTCCTTACCTATTCTTCCCCTACCTCTCCTCCACATTTCTTCTTCCTCTCCTACTATCTCTCCTTCTCT